AATTACACATGTGCCTTTCAGAGAATTTCTTCATCAGTTATCTTGCGAGATATTATATTTTTGCTCAGACTGCATCTCGTGATTGATGAGAATCTTCATTAAAGTCGTGACTAATTTGATGTCTAGACGGTTTCGCGCGAGTCTCTAGCGAATCTCGATCGTCGCCCGACTATTGGCCGCCTCGGGGCTTCTTCAAAAGTACCCATCGCTCCTTCTCTCTGTGACTGGCAGTACTGGTCCGATGGTTCCCGTGCCAGTCTTCTTCCCCACAGTGGCTTTTCCGGGTTGCCAGCAGCTCCTCTGCCGCTCGCATTCGAGCTGCACACAACCGGGATGATGCAAGATTAGTGGAGGCGAAGAGAAAGCCAACACGACATGACGCAGCTCGAAAAAAAAAACGGAACCCGTACCCGTCTGAGTTTTGTCGCTATATCGGCCCGGTCGCCCAACCTGGATCAAGGTTAGCGGTCAACGGCCGCGGGTTCGGAAGCCAACTCATTGTCTGCAACGAGTGATTATGAGTGGACTGGACCAGACTTCCCCGACGCGTCACATCCCGAAAAAGATTTACGGATAACAAAAATGGTATGACTGACAATGAAAACTCTGGCAGTGGTTTTATGACCGTGCGAAAGTTCCCGTGTGCCCTGCTGACCATAAAAACCGATTCGGATTTATAGAAAAACTGGCCAAGACATTTTAGTTTATTTTGCAGTTCAAGTGCTATTCAAAAATGAAAATCTCTGATATTATAGAGAAAATGAGACGATACCGCACATGATCTATCAAATTTCAGTACGGTACTTTACCTACAGCGATCCCCTTGGCTTTTCAATAAGAACGCGTTGAAACGAAAATTAATCGGTAGAAACCCGAACATTAAAATCGAAGGACTCAACAGAAGTGGATTCGTATTCTTCATCTCTTCCGAGCGAATGAGGAATTTGCTAATGCTGAAGATTCTAATGATGGAAATTTTCGATGAAGTTTTCGACATTTGACGAAGAAGGATTTGTGTACTGCACATCTACTACTCTTGGACCATTTTATACTGGATGTGCGCTTTTCTCATCGTTACTTTTCATCAGGGTGCTTTTCTTCTGTCACACATTTTGGAATGTGGAATGCGAAGTTCAGTTTGACATCATCACGAAATGTTTCCTATTTTGAACTGTACGAGGAATTTTTAGACGCTCCAATACACGTGGCTCCTCCGAATCCGAGCAACATTCAGAAAATGCGTCGCGATTCACGTCGCCAACAACTTGGTGATGCCCGGGATTTATTCGCATTCCAAAGAGAAAAAAATGTTCATCATAGAGAACTGTATGCAGTCGGAGTAAGATCAAAAGATAAAATTTAACTCCTTAGTCAAAACCCTGTAGTTGCGACCAAAACAAACGTTCGTTTTCAATGTTTTGATCGAGCTATTTTTTCTCATTGATATTTTCATCAGAAAATTTTGACGTCGTGAGCTGTTACAATAAATAATATAGTAGCTCTGGATGTAAACAGAAGAGTGGTGGAAATATCGGATTTATTCACACACTGATAGCGTGCGTAAATAAACTGGCATTCGCTTTGTTATTTTTTTCTTTTCAGAATTTGCATTTGGTGCGTATGCATAGCGAGGAGTAATATCGTATGGGACAGTTGAAGAATGTGCACAATTCCGTTTTTTTTTTCGTTGCGTTGATACCAAGTTTTTCTATTTCGGAGAACAAATTCGCACATCGCGGATCTGGGGTATTTTATGAACTTTTCATCGAGGGATGGAAAAATCTACTGAATCGAAAATAAAATACAATTCTGCTGAACGTCGTATATTTCCGAAGCAAGAAATTCCATTTGAATTACGGCTACAACAAACATGCCAACACTTTTATTCACAATAAAGACCAATGCCCCAAACTCCTATATCTATATAGATGAAGAGAAAAAATCATAAAATAATTTTGAAGTACGTTACGAAGAAACAACAAGAGATGAAGGGGCGTTAATTCCATCGTAATCCGACCCACGCGAAAAATTCGCGAACGCTCAAGAACAACACGCACGTGTTTCCGATTTCCCAGCTCCAGCTGCTGCAAAGCCTTGTAATTTTATTTTTGGACAACCAACGCAATGCTCAACAATTTCTCGGCATTTCCAGACGCTTCACAGATGTTCTTAATAGATTTTTTTCATTTAAAAGGAAATCCAAGCGGCTAACTGAACCTGGCTTGAACTACGACAAAGCTGACAACTGAAACTTATCCATCTTGAGTGATGGACGACGGCGAAAAATTATTCCGCGCGGCCGGGGATCCATCTCAGGAAAATCAATCACATTTTTACCCATGAAATGTTTCCAGAAAACACGATCGTCTGACTTGCGAATGCATTCTTCACTCTGACGTCGACTGGATCCGACGCACGCATACAAACGCAACCTCCTGCAGTCGCTGTATGCGTTCCGCAGAGGCTTGGAAAAACGACTACTGTAACCTTGAGCTACCCTCATCCATTTTTTGCTGAAAATTGGGGCAAGTACTTGTCACGAACTTGCAACGCATGCAATCACTTCCGCCGGATACGGTAATTGCACGCGAACTGCTGTTCTACAATTGCGTCCGCATCATGTGTGGGTATACAGTATTTGTACAATGAATCAACAAAAATACCCTCTTTTTCCAAGTTTTTTCTCCCATTTGAAATTTGAAAATTTTCAGTGGCGCTAATGTATACGCAATATCGTATGACGTGATTATCGACCGTAACCCCTTTTTATATTAGCAATAATTATGTCGGGGGGGGGGGGGGGTGAACTATACAGAACGTAGAATATTTAAAAATGTCGAAATAAAAAAATTATCATTGACTTAATGAAGCCAATTTCGGGTCCAATGCAGGAGTTTCACTTAAAAAATTAGCATTTTTAAAATCACAAATGTGATTCAGTGATGTCTGTTTCTCTTTCGCTGATAATTTTTGTTGAAAATTACATGAAAATGTAATAATGAATACAATCAGTTTCACAGCCTAGTTTTCCTAACCCTCCTGAATCGAAACCCTCTATAAGTCAGAGTATGGTATTGGTCCCTTGAAATTCAATTTGGAAAGGTTCAACTTACATTTAATTTCTTTTGAAAATGAAGGACCTCAGCCAATGTTTTTTTCCGGCATTCTTCTGGAAAAAAATTGTGACTGGTAATCACGCAGATACGGAATTATAATTTTATTTTTCGAAGGGTTCGACGCCCTGCTTGCTGGGGGAAAAATCACCCTTTTCCGGCCATCGTATGATTCTCCCCGGAAAACTGGGCAAGTCGTCAATCAGCGTTGCGTTTTACCTGATATTCCGCCCGTGGCCCGTTAGCCAGACTGATCATGACAGGAGGGCTCCTAGAAATAACACTGATTTCTTTAGGAAATTGCGGGACTGCCACTTTTTCGAACGAGGCGTTCCTTCGAGTTTGCCCCAATTCCTGGTTTCGCATGCGCAGTGGAGTGCAGAAAGTACACTGCACTTTTTTGAGGCAGAATATGAAACCGGATGAAATTATTTCCATTCAGAAATGTCTTCCCGCTGAGCGAGAAACAAGAAGCCTCAAGTAGTTCTTCGACTACTTTGTCAACGCTGATCCGTCCTCAGGATTATCAAAGGATTAGTCAGGACTCAGGACTAAGCTCATGTACGTGTACTCGTTGTGTTACTGCGTAATGCAACTATATCTGAAAGAAAAGTCTTATCCAAATGTTCTCGGGATTTTTATTCTTCACGACATCTTTCCTCGTTGGCGATAAGGAAGACAGCAGAAATTCGATCAGAAACGTGAGTTTCAACTCATGGAAAATTTAAAAGAGATGAGAAAAGGAGAATTGATAGGATTAGCTGACGCTAAAAAGCAGTGTCTCCTTGCACTTTCAGCTCCCTTCGCGATGTTTTGCAGATAATTCGACAAAGGCAAATGGAAAGAACCGACTTTGGTCTGAATGTTTCAGCTGAAAGTTGTTGGTTAAGTTTAGGAACCGTCGATTCATCTGATCAAACTGTAGTTTTGAGTGAAATGCAGAATCGGTTGAAGGAAACGAACGGGTGCGTGAGATGAATATTTTGAACTGGTACTCGCAGCAAACCCGGATCCACATTGGATTATGCAAATGTTTCAATAAGGCTACTCACAAAAGTACTTTCATCGTTCAAGGCATGCAACAGGCGCCTTTATTCAACCCGGGCGTCGGCAGTATTTGATGGTTCCTTCGCATCCGCATCCGTTTTTCTGCCGCCCAAATTCTAACG